ATTGAACCACGGTCCCTGTGCTTTGCTTAGCTTAGCTTGTTCTAAGTAGGTGCTTTAGACCACTGAGCCATCTCACCAGCCCCATCCTTAATTTTTTTTTAATTCTGTGATAAAATCTTGTTATGCTGTCCAGTCTCATCCCAAACTCTTGAGCTCAAGAAATCCTCCTGCCTCATCCACTTAAGTAGCTGAAACTACAGGCAAATCCCACTGCACCTGGACTTTTCCCTGGCTAGTTAATCAACACGTGCACATCACTTTCCTATCACATGAAGTTGGTAGGCCGTACAGCCAAAGCGCTTCTCACTCATCCAAGTACCATGGCAGAGACCATGACATGGCTTCACACCATCTCCTGCTGGCATTTCTCCAACTGTCATTTCAGGCTAAGGGGTGGAATGTTTCCTCCATCTCTTCCCATGTGGCACCAGTCTTATAAGACATCTGTTCACCGAGGCATGGCTACCGTAAGAAAGTGACTCATCCAACTGCATCAGGCTTTATATAAACACCATCTTAGGGTCTGTTGCTTCACACCGCCCATCCTCACATGACGTATACTCATGCCAAAAGCTGATTCACACTTTGGACATGGTTATCTTTAATACCTATAAAGTAAAATATCTGTTCATACACACATAACAGTAATGGCTTTCCCACATGTGAAGCCTTTGAACTTTATGTGATGTCCATAGAGACATTTCATAAAGGAATTTTGTGAATAAACTTTTCTTATCCAGGCCCAGCTATTACAGATTTCAGATTGGTTTCATAAGATTCTTAGCAAAGCAAGCTACCCGAGTACACAGAGTCAGAGTTTAAATGATTTCTCTAGTTTGGGCAAAATAATTGCATAGTGTAAAACATTATTTTATGTTTGTTCTAGAAAAATTCAATTGTTCTATAGTTCAGAGGATTTCTGATTTGTTTTTGTGGAAATAAAGCAAAAGCAAAGGGCTAACAACATATCACAGAAGACTATATCAAAACTACATCAAACTTGGTGTTTCTTTTTGTTTCTTATAGGAATAATCTCTTGTTTGACCCTCAAATTCACATTCTACATTCACTGCTTGTGTTTGGATGTATTTCTGAATTATAGTTTATGTTAGCAAAGCTAGTTATTCTCTTCATGCCTCAATAAACTATTTTTACCCACTAACCCAATTTTGTCAACTGGGAAAATAAAATATCTATCTTAACCCATTTCTTCCAGAAAACAGAGCCAGAGTCTAAGATTAAAAAATTTAGGACAGTGACTAAGAGGGTCAAACCTACAAAGAAAGAAAGATGCAAATATATGTGACATTTAGTGTTCTGGCTAGGACATCACAGGAGCCACCAAGAGACACAGAAGAGGGTGCATCTGGATGGCCACTCCCTGAAGGGAACTTCTCTAGAACAACCTTCCAGAGCAACTCCATAGGAGAGGTGAACTTTATCTGCCCAACTCCTTCTCATCTCCTGTAAGCCAGTGGACACTGCCCAGATAGCAAAATGTCCCTCACCTCTGGGTTCAAGTCCCTAAGTCTCACTTCTGTCTTATGATAAATAAACACAATTTATGCCCCCCCTGAAGGGAATGTTCTCAGAATTAGACAGAATAGCTCATTTAAAGCCATAAAAAGTGGAGGTATTCAGATAAATGCTTGTTAAAGGAAAATATGAGGACTGGGACATCAGTCAGCAGTAGAATTCCCCCCTAGTATTCATAAGACCTTGGGTAAGATTCCCAACACTGAGGAAGAAGAGAGAAAGAGACGATGCTGGAACTCCCAAGTGCGCAGTGATTGGCTAGAGAATTCCTATTCATCTATGAAAGGATGAAAAATTTACAGTCAGCCCCAAAGAAACAATGGAGACATCTGAGAATGGTGACAGACTTGGAGCCTAGTCCAATAGTAACAGATTGAAAAATATTTCTGCAATAATAATAATAAGCAAAAATTAAATAATGTTGGATGGAAAAGACACACTCTGTGATGGCCAAACACAATAGTTTATAACGGCCTTGTCAGGAAAATACCTATTTCAACAATGTCCAGGAATTCAGACAACTCTGGAAATCATTTATTCTACCTTGTTTCTGCCCCCACCCCCTTTTGCGAGATGGGATAACCTGTAGAGTCTAAGACAAACAACAAAAGTTCACCTCTCCATCTGTTGTCTCATGGGACAGGGTTTTTTCTTAAAATCTGGGAAGTAAGACATACAAAGGTCCAAGAGCTGGTTCTCAACTTCCCCCCACGAGGAATTCATGTGTTTTACATGGCACAGAGTTCCCTACAGAGTGGCAACCCCACTGCCTTTCAGCCAAGAACCTCACACTAAAGGAAAAAAAAAAATATCCCAAACTGTGCTGGAAACAGATCCAAAACTAACACAGCCAAATTAAACCCTGCAAGCCAAGACATTCAAAAATAGGTTTTCTCATATTGCTCATTACTCTCCACATGGCATACAGTTGAATACCTTAATTCTCTGGTGAGCCTGTTATGGAGACAACCTTTCATTTAGCAAATATTCCTGGAGATTTGGGATGGGGCCTTGGGCAGGAACATACACGCATTGTGTGAGGTCCCTGCATTCAAGGACCTTACAAGTTAGTGGAAAGCATGTGAGTGCTAACTAATACAATAGCAAAAAGTCTGTGTGGCCCTGGATTAGTGAGCAATAAAGACACCTAAGGGCCCTTAGGCAAATTTTGAAAGGATGGA